TAATTCCTCCGCTAGCCAGGCCAACGAAAATGAGCCTCTGAGTACTCCGCATCCTCCGCCATGTAACAACATGTAGATGCCACAAAACTTTCCGCCCGGGCATGTATAAAACCAGTACATAACCACACCCTACCTGCTCTTCAACTAATCAAGCCTTTTGCAAAATGCCATATTCAGGCAAGCTGCTCCCACCACATTCAGGACCGCAAAGCCTATCACGCACCTTGCAGGGGTTTTATATATGTATATACATAATATATATATATGTATATATATAGCGCTTTGGTCTTGCAGGGGTATATGTGCATATGTACTTATAAGGACCGAGGGATATATCAGCTTTTTAGGATTTAGGGTTTGGAGTTCATAGTGTAAAATCACATGGAAAACAAAATCGAAATGGCTACAAATATACGAATTATGTAACGGTATTCTGTAATGCAGGGCTCGGCAAAATTGCCAACATGGTTTTGAAGTCTACTTGAACTTCGTTGTACCTAATTATGCAAGAAATCTAAGACCACAATATTGGTTCGTGATTTCGGCCAGGACCTTAGCTTTTGTTAGTGTAGGGGAAAACAAATCCAAGGTGTTGCCCGCATGGTGATCTTGTTCGGGTCATTCCACTGGCTGTTCAGGCTTATGGTGAGGGTCGTACGGGCGTCTGTGTGTCACTCTAGTGCTTGTGTTTTCTAAGTTTCCTTCCAGGAAATGAACCAGCATGAGATGGTAATTATTGGTTCAGAGTATGCTCAACGAAACCAACCCTAAACCCTAACCTGCAAACGACCCGGTCATCAAATGTGGCAGAGAGGAGGGCTGGCCCCTATGCCTTCATTGTAGGGTCCAGGGCTTGGGTCTACCTCGATAAATCGTTCTATGGGTTACTTTGAGGGATCCAGGAATTACTAAGTTTAGGGTTTAGGGTTAGGTAACCTGGTTATAATGGATTACACATGGGGCTATAATGGGCTTCTAAGGGAAAAAGTAGTACATTGGCTAACTCCAGGCTCCCTCAAAGTAGGCCTCAGAGATATGTAGGGGCCTGGCATTTTTTTAAATTGTCTCTTATATTGTCACTTGTAGTGGGCCCAAATATGGCCACCATCTCCTGTAGTAATCTTTCATGGGTTTGGGCCTGCAACTCAACATGCTCGTTTAGCATCAAAAACGGACAGCCTAATCCTAAAATGGCCAAGACGCCGATACAGCAAGAAGAACACAGAGAACCACTCGCTGATGTTCTCCACAAGCACGCGACACGGTGGTCCCCAGTTTGCAAACAACACTTCGAACCTGCGGAAATTGATGATAGTTGCTTAAGTGTTGGCTTATGAGAAACAATGCTCGTGTCCCGAAAGTCGCACTCTTTCAAGAGGAAGAAGCTTGCGTTAACAAGCACGGCAGAGCCGGCAACACAGGTTCAAATTATTCCAGCTTGACCTGCATACGTGGCACTGGCCAAACACGACGACGACGACGACGACGACGACGCCGCCGCCGCCGCCGGCGGGGGTGGTGGTGGTGGTGGTGGACGACCATGACGATGATGGTGATGATGATGATGATGGTGGTGGCGATGATGGTGGTGATGATGCTGATGCTGATACTGATGACGGATGTTGACGATGACCACGATGGTGGGGATGATGATGATGATGATGATGATGGATGATGATGATGATGGATGATGATGATGATGGATGATGAAGATGGTGGTGATGGTGGAGGCCGCAACAACCCCGAGCTACACTGAGCTTACTGTCCAGCACTACACGACTGTGAATGACTAGAACCAAACATGCATGAAGTGCTGTATGCTGTATATAGTTCTAGAGTTTGTTCAATTGGTGACTACAGCGGGACATGAACCGAGTCCAGCCATTGAGGCCTAAGTCTAAGATAGACGAAGGTTGAGGCCCAGCTACATCGTCAGGAACGTCCGTGTGAACGTGCCAAAGTACTTGAAGACTTCCTCGCGCTGCACTTGGTCATGGCTGTCATCTCCAATGTACCTTGAATCGCGTACCCAGGTTTCTTCAAAGTATTTAGCAGGGTTGAGGTCGTGCCGAGATCGTCGAAAGGGAAAGGAAGACAAATCAGGTCGTTACCAAAGCAACGCGCTAACACCGATTAGGGCTTCTTCCGTTCAAACAGAACAGCCTGAAGTGGTTGGTGCTCGTGCTGAGTGCAGGTGGGCCGTTTCCGCGGCTCCGGTTTGGAGCGTCCTTGCAGTTTGGCTGGAAATCTGCCGCGCAGAGCGCCCTGTGCCAGTGTGATTTTGGGCTTCCTCCTGCGAGGAGCGTCCTCACAATTTTGTTACATAACCCTTATCATCCCCTACATAACCCTTTTTTCGCAGTTTCCATTTCATTTTCCATGTTTTTCTCCAGATGATTCTCCATTATTTAGGGATACTTGCTTGTGGATTGGACTGCTGCAGGTAGTCTTGGACTGCTTTTTGGGACTCTTGGCTTCAGGGATTTTGGAGAATTCGTGGAGTGGGTCCTGTACTTTGCGCTCTTGGGATGCTCTTGCAGAGCCCATGGAGTTCTACAACCTCCCACTTCCCGCAAAGTCACGCGTCAGATACATTGTGCACACTTAAGATGCTTCTTAAGGCTAGTCAGGTCCCCTTCGCTAATGAAAGCGTTGCATTCAAAACGCGCAAAAGGTAGTTTCCCTAAATTACTGTTCTCAAAATGGGGGAAATTTATATAGGGCCCCGTATTATAATAGGAACCTAAATATAGGACCCCGTATTATAGGGAATTTAGACCAATACCCAAAAAGATCCCAGAGCCACCGAGGATGCTCACGACAGAAGGTGCTGATGATCAAGCCGGCGACGCACTGAAGAAAGGCAAGAAGACAGAAGCTCCAGAAAAGCATGTCCTTGATGCGATTTTTGGCAGTTTCACGAAAGGATCAGGAATGTTTGGGATTGGGGGGACTTTCCCTCAAACCCCTAGTTCCCAAGGAATTCCAAATGTTCTTCGCCTGCAACCCACTAAAGAATGCAAATCTTGCCCAGGGCCGAAAATCTTATTCTCCCCGAAACTAACCTGCAACTTACTATAGCCCGTTTGAAACGATGAAATCAGGTCCCAGTGTCAATGCTGGCAACAAGGCTTTTCAGCAGCAACTGCAGGGATTGGAGGACGCTACCCATGCCTTCAGTTCAGGGTTTAGGGTTTGCTTTGAGTAGTGCCATAGTAGGTGACCTGGTTGTACTAAGGGGCTGCTATAGATCCTGGTGCCCCCACCCATTGACAGTCTAGAATAGGGGTAATATTAAAGGCTACATATAATCATAATCAATTAGCCCAACTTTTAGTGAGTGAGAGCATTCTCCAATCTGCTTCCATTAAGGCACATGCCTTTGCTGTAAACCATAGCATGGCCACAGCATCTTTCTACACTCCATGTTGAACCACTCCCAAAGCTACAGTGGCTTTGATAGAGCTAAGACGTCCACAGGTTTTGTGGTCTCATACGTCTCTGAGGACTGGAGCCATTCCCCCAAAACCCTAAACCCTAAATTGTCCCCAAATGCTCAGGGGTTTGGTTCAGTGGGTCTGTGTGGATACTCACCCAACGAATGACAGAAAAAGGCTTCCTTCAGCCCCACCTAGAACCCTAAACCCTTAACCCCTTGAACCCTAATCACCCAACCTTAGGCCCCAAGTCCTCAGCCACGGAAAACCCTAAACCTAACCCAATCCTTAACCCTAAACCCCGAACCCTAAACCCCAAACTCTAAACCCCAAACTCCAGACCCTAATCCCTAAACCCCAAACCCCAAACCAGTATTAATGTCTTGCCCAGATGCTGACCAAGCGGAGTACCCGTGCAAGCTTGCCGAGTCGCAGGATGCGAACAAGTACAGGGCCTGTGTTAGGGTTTAGGGTTTAGGATTTGGAGTTTAGGGCTTAGGGTTTAGGGTTTGGAGTTTAGGGCTTAGGGTTTAGAGTTTAGGGTTTGGGCTTAGGCTTTGGAGTTTAGGGTTTGGGTTTAGGGTTTGGGGTTTGGAGTTCAGGGTTTAGGGTTTAGGGTTTGGAGTTCAGGGTTTAGGGTTCAGAGTTTAGGGTTTGGGTTTAGGGTTTAGGGTTTAGGGTTCAGAGTTTAGGGTTTGGGTTTTAGGATTTAGGATTTAGGGTTTAGGGTTTATGGGCATACAGCCTCTAACCTTTTGAGGTACACATGGGG